CTCTCTAAAGATCCCACACCAGTGGGATAGTCTACCCACAGGTGACTTAGCTCTGAGAGTCTTGACCCACAGCTACCTCAGACGCACTGGAAGGTAATATTTGCTGTCATTGACCATCAGTAATTGCCTCATGCAATTGCACAGATATATTACGTGGGCACAGATGGTATTCAGACTTGAGAAAAGCTCTGGTGGCAAGAAATGTAGTGTTAGGAACACAGGTAGGTGAACCAGTTTAAGTCTTCTGTGAGAAAGGCAAAAAAGTGTTGGATCTCAGTAGAGCAAGTATAACATTTTTTTTCTGTGTAGAAAGAGTACTTTAAAATAATTTGCACTGGCCCATGTCAAACAGGTCTATTCACCCTAGCAAATATTTTAGCTTGCTTCTGAACCTAGAAGGAGAGCAGTAGTATCTAGTGTTCCGGGTTTTCAAATGTATTCTTCTCTGTTCAACAACAGTTGTTAGGTAGTGCTTCTGGAATTAGGACACGGTAGGTGCCTCTGGTTTGTTCTCTGAGTATTACCAGCCCAGGTCAGTCCTGGTGTTTTCTTGTTCAGTTAATGTTTTTCCTATAAGAAGTTGTGTAAACTTATACTGGTGGGCCCCATGAGCACTAATCAAAAAAATGAGTAATATAACAGCCTTAATTGAAATTTTTCTCCTGACTTTTTTGGCTGCTGTGGTTGCTTGCTGATCCATTTTTTCCTTTGATCTGTTTTATAGCTTAAATATTTTTCTTTTTTCCAGGCTCACATAAAATTTCCTATTGACTATCCATATTCACCACCTACCTTCAGATTCCTGACCAAAATGTGGCACCCCAACATTTATGAGGTAAGGTGTCTTTTAAACAATTTTGTTCTCAGTGAGAAGGCTTTCAGCTTCTTTAATTAAACTTCTGGAAGTACTGAAAGTACTACATGTCTCTAGCCATAACTGAAGTGGTTGGCTCTAGGCATTAAATGTTATCTTCATGGTTGAACAGTTAAATGTTGCAGGAAATCCTCTTTTAGGATGAATGGAGCTGTTTTTGTACCTGCAAGTGCAGCAGACAGCCCCAGATGAAGCACCATGCCTTGAGAGTGGCAGTTTTATGGGATTTTTGGACCAAGGCTGGCTGCAGGAGTGGGAGGGAGGTCCTGCCCTGCTGATACTTAAGCAACTAGATGTTTTTACACAGTTCAAGTACGCTTTAAGTATCTCCTACAAAATTGTGTTCTGAGGCAAGAAATAATAGAAAAGAGTCTTCTGTAGCAGCTGGCCTACAAACAAAAGGGTTTAGGCTTAGGGAGTTCCAGCTGCAGGAAGAACCAGTGCTGGGCTGGAGGCCAGCTTGAGGGGAGGAGTCATGCAGAGTCTGGTCACCCTGGGACCTGAGTGAGCAGAGATCTATGAACTTAACGTGTGGTGTGAAGTGGCCCTTAGTTCAGTGCACATATGGGTCACATTCAGAGGGTAGTGCTGTGGGCTGTCAAGTCTATAGTTGGATCATGGTACAACTACATAGCAGGGTACAGAACAGGAGTGGTTTTATATAGAAGGAATCAATTCAAAATTAGCATGTTTCATAGAGTTGTATTTGAAAGCTGAAGACCTGTTTTGGCTCAAAACTTGGCTTTTATTGGAGTCTAGTCAAGCCCTTGCAAAACTGTTGGATTTCCTAGAGAAGTGTCAGCCTGCTAGAACCACTAGTTGAATGGTTTGAGGAGGTAAAGACCTTTCAAGATGTTGCTGTGTCACCGTATCACAGTCTTCCTGGGAAAGGTTCTGCAGGCTTCCTTTGGACCCAGTTCAGCTCAGGAATGTCACTGCCTGTGAATAAATGATTACTTCAGTTGATGTCTTGGGCTTGGAAAGCCCTTTTCTAACAAGTTGTTGCTCCTAAATGTCCAGCCTGGAATGAGCATGCTTCAGATGTCATGGCGAGAACCTGCACTGATGGCTTGGTATTAAATGGCCAAAAGCCACTCCAAATTTCAGTGCAGAACAGGATAGCAATAGACTTTAAATACTGGATGCTCAGGAAGCTTGTCCTAAGCCCAGGAACATCTGGTAGTCTTCTGAACTGTGTTTTGGGCTTTGCACAGAATCTTACACGTAGCCAAGGATGGTGTTTCTCTTTAAGACTCTATTTCAGCTACATGGGATTTTGATCTATAAATAGAGACAACTTTGAGACCTGCAGATTATTGCAGATCCATACTCTGGATGTTAATTCTGAATCCAGAAATCCTCATGCAGTAGGTGTGTGGAAAATGGTTACCAAAATAGTATGTACAAAAGGAGTCTTGGAAAGGACTTCTCCCAGTTCTGGTGGGAAAGATGAAAAATTTGCTTTAAAAACAATTGAAGGTGGGAGAAATTAATGAAAACTTGATGGGTGCATTTTGAGATTAGTCTTCAAATATTTCAGCTCTCAGCTTTGTACTTTGTGTTCATATCAGTATTTCTTGGAGCTGAGGAAATCTGAAGCAGCTTCCATGCTGTTTTGAAAACAGCATTTAAGCAATGAAGATGATGCACTGGGATAACTCCAAGTGAAACTGAGAATAAATCAGCAAAGGGCTTGAGGATTGAGGGTTTGTCAGGAGGAGAAAAAAAAATAAATCTTGTGGTGCAATGAAGATGGAAGAAAGTAGCAGTTTACAGAATCTGCTGGTGGGACCAGATGGAGAGGTTGGTGCTGATGTTCCAGTTCCAAGCAAGGAGACTTGCGTAGCTTGTGTGTTTTTCCCAGTCTCTAGTTTACTTGAGTCATCTGGTTGAATTTTGGTAAAACTGCATTTGCTTATTCTTTACTTTTATGACATAATAGCTCTCAGTCCTGGCAGATGTATAGACTATTAGCCATTGGCAGTTGAAAACCCATCTCAAATGTATGTAGGGACAATCTTGCCACTTCACTACCCTAATCCCTAAAATTTTGGCCCCATGACAGCTTTCCAGACTCTGTAGCTTGAGTTCCAAAGCATACAACATTGATTGTTCCAAGAGGGAAACTTCTCACGTCCTTTCTTCCCTTTATTTTCATATTGCCAAATACCTACTCATCCACAGGCTGCAGACACAATTGTTTGAGGAACGTCCCCCAAGTGCTGTGATGCCACCAACACTGCATTCTCCCAGGAGACAGTTAAAGGCAAAAAAAAGGATAAACCTATGAAAACTGTTGGTAAAACCAGAATAGGCTGTGAAGGTAATCTAATATTAGTAAGGTTAATTTTTCTTAAAATGATACTAAAACATTTCCTGATTGCACAAGCCTGATGGAATCCTAAAAAGGAAACTACTTTGTTAGGAAAAACTGTTCCAGCAATGTTAGTGCATGCTTGGGTATTCAGCAGCTCCAGGTGCTCTGTTGCTGTGGGTAGTTCTGTTCTTGACAAAAAACCTGCTTCAAAATGATGAGGGCTGCATTAGCACACCTGGCAGTCTTAGTGAGCCACTGAAATCTGGATACTGATCACAAGCCTCCGATGTTGGAGGAGGATCTTGTTTGGCTATAAAACAAGTGCCATTGCTAATCAAGGAGAGTTGAACTGCTTGGGAGGCCCTTCAGGTGAACAGTTACTGTGTGTGGCTGTGATCTCTGTCTGGGGCTCAAAGGTCTGGATGCTGTTGCTCAGAGCAGCACAGCTCCATACACTGGATCCTCTGTCTTGGAAGGGTCTTCAGGATGCAGCTGAGGTGTGTGGAGAACTGCCAGCCTGCAGTCTTCAGCAGAACTAATTCATATCCACAGGGTCTCTTGTTCCTGTTGTCAACCTGTGCCGTAGGTCAGGGTGACAAGGGATAGCATAGAATCATAGAACTATTCAGGTTGGAAAAGCCCCTTGGGATCACTGAGTCCAACCATCATCCCTACTCTACAAAGTTCTCCCCTAAACCATCTCCACCAACATCAAATCCAAACAACCCTTTAACACATCTGGGGATGGTGACTCAGCCACTTCCCTGGGCAGCCCATTCCAGTGTCTGACCACTCTCTGTGAAAAAAATGTTCCTAATGTCCAGTCTAAACCTCCCCTGTTGCAGTTTGAAGCCATTCCCTCTTGTTCTGTCCCTAATGAGCTGTGAGAAGAAACCAGCATCCACCTCTCCACAATGTCCTTTTATTGTAGTTGCAGAGACTGAGATCTCCCCTCAGCCTCCTCTTCCTCAGACTAAACATTCCCAGCTCCTTCAAGTGTTCTTCACAAGATTAATTCTCTAGGCCCTTTCCCAGCTTCGTTGCCCTCCTCTGCCCTCTCTCCAGCACCTCGATATCTCTCTTGAATTGAGGTGCCCAAAACTGGACACAACACTCCAGGTGAGGCCTCACCAGTGCTGAGTACAGGGGGACAATCACCTCTCTACTTCTGTTGGTCACTCTTATTTCTAATACAGGCCAGGATGCCATTGGCTTTCTTGGCCACCTGGGCACACACTGGCTCATATTCAGCCACTTGTCAATTAGTACCCCAGGTACTTTTCTGCCAGACACTTTCCAGCCACACTTCCCCAAGCCTGGAGCATTGCCTGGGGTTGTTGTGGCCCAAGTGTAGGGCCCAGCACTTGGTCTTGTTGAAGTCCAGCCCATTAACATGAGCCCAGTGATCTAATCTATCCAAGTCTCTCTGTAGACCCTCCCTATCCTCATGCAGATCAACACTCCCACCTAACTTGGTGTCATCTGCAAACTTACTGATGATACACTCTATGTCCTTATCAAGATCATCAACAAAGATGTTAAACAGAAACAGTCCCAACACTAAGCCCTGAGGAACAATCACTTGTGACTGGCCCCAGCTGTATTTTGACTCCACTGAGCACCACTCTTTGGGCCCTACTGTCCAGCCAGTGAGATGAGACATTCCCTGGTCTATCATGCATGTGCCACCTGAACACCTGGGGCTGTCTCTAGGAGCTTGTAAGTCTTCCCAGCAGCAGGAGGCAGCAAGCCAGCAGGGCTTGGAGGGGCCAGCAACTGCTGTCTGGCCTTGGGCCCCATCTGCACCTTCATTCCATCCAGCAGCAAGGCATTGGGACCCCACAAGTCCCAGGAGTCAGCTTCAGTGGAGAGTATCAGCTGTGGTGAAGTGCTGCAGCATTCCTACAAAGTGGCTGTGTTGGAGTGCTGCTGCTGATGGAGAATTGGTTTCACAGGCTTCTTAAAGTGTTTATAAATGATGGGAATTTTGGAGCTCTAAATCTACATTCAGGCTGTAACACTGGTGAGTAAAAAATAGATTGAGGATTACATGGCTGTGTGATGTCCATATGCTGCCAAAATATTCTTCCCCTGGTGTGCTAGAAGGAATTTTCAGTGAAGCCTTCAGAGAGCATCTTCTGCTTTTTCACCTGGTATTTCAAACAGCTGTGTCCCAGGGGAGTGGCACAAACCTGCCCCACATCCTCTGCTCAACATCCTTGTGTCCCACAGGAGCATTGTTTTGGTACCTGAGCTAGCAGAGAGTCCTAAACCCTTCAATTAAAAACTCCTGTATCTAGCTCCACTACCACTGGAAACAAAAATATTTATTAACCCTACTGTGACTAAACCTTGTTTCTGTCACTGCTACAGTGATTGCTATCTGGACACCAATTTTCTTTCTTGTGATGTTATTACTTTATTACCTTTGTTTGCTTTGCTACATTCTTTAAACCTCTTGATTTGAGATAATTTTGTACCGGTTTGCAGACTAAACCTGTTTTAGCCAGGGAAATGTTTGAACTTATAAATAGAGTAGACCCTGGAAGAACTGAGAACTTTCCAGTTCTTGCATATTTTGCAGGCTCTTGAGGTGTTCATATCAGCTAGAGTTGGTGGTATTGTCATCAGACCTCTGCCTCAAGCCAGGCTATTCTCAAATTTTGTTTCTGTCTTGCAGAATGGAGATGTATGTATTTCAATTCTTCATCCACCTGTAGATGACCCACAAAGTGGAGAGCTGCCATCTGAGAGGTGGAACCCTACCCAAAATGTCAGGTAACTGTGAATCAGATGTGCAGTGGTGATCTCAAAGGCCTGTTGCCTCTTTCCAAGACAAAAGCCTGTGTTGTGAGAAGTTTGGAAGGGAATTTAAGACTGAGTGTTTTAGGGCTTGAATCGAGCAGGAACCTAACTTGCCAAGCTGTCTGAAGATACAGGAGTGCTATGTGTCTTGATAACCTGCTAAAAATATGGAGCCTGTTTACAGGGGTTCATACTCTGAAAGGAAATTGTCTCAAGTGTTCTAGCCTTTCCAAGTCCCTGCTACGCTACGCTTAGAGTTTTCAGCTAATCCAAGATAACACTGGTAGAAAAATGTTTTTCAATATTCAGGTCCAGTAGGAGTAACTCGGCATAATCCTGCCTACTGTTTGTCTTCCAGTAGTTGTCCCCTGTCCTGCAGTGTAGTGTCTCAAGCAGTTAGCCAGATCATTTGCTTCTTGCCAACAAAACAATGGCTGGAGAGCAGCTCTGAGGAGAAGGACTTGGGGTGGTCGTAGATGAGAAGCTCCACATGAGCCACCAGTGTGTGCTGGAGCCCAGAGAGCGACTGCATCCTGGGCTGCATCAAAAGAAGTGTGGCCAGCAGGGCCAGGGAGGTGATTCTGCCCCTCTACTCTGCTCTGCTCTGCTCTGGTGAGATCCCACCTCCAGTGCTCTGTGCAGCTCTGGGGCCCTCAGCACAGGAAAGATACAGACCTGTTGGAGAGGGTCCAGAGAAGGGCCACCAAGATGATCAAAGGCCTGGAGCATCTCTGCTATGAAGACAGTCTGAGAGAGTTGGGGCTGTTCAGCCTAGAGAAGAGAAGGCTCCAGGGAGACCTTATAGCACCTTCCAGTACTTGAAAGAGGCCTACAGGAAAGCTGGAGAGGGGCTTTTCATCAGAGAAGACAGTGATAAGACAAGAGGTAATGATTTTAAACTGAGAGGGGGAGATTAGCTTAAATATTAGGAAGAAATTCTTCACTCTAAAGATGGTGAGGAACTGGAATGCGTTGCCCAGGGAGGTTATTGTTGCCCCATCCCTGGAGGTTTTTAAGGCCAGGTTGGACAAGATTTTGTGCAACCTGATCTAGTGGTAGGTGTCCCTGCTCATGGCAGGGGCGTTGGAACTTGATGATCTTTAAGGTCCCTTCCAACCTTAATGATTCTAGGATTGCTAACTGTGGGAGACTTTCAAGGTCAACCTGTCTGTTTTTTTCTTTGAAACACCAGATGAATTTCAAGACACTGCCAATGAAGAACTGACTAGGTGACAAGCCCCAGCTCATAGTTAGGAAACAACTTTGAGCATTAATTATATCATACACATGTTTTGAGTATTTAATTTTATTTATTTATCAAGATTTACATGAAACTTCTCATGGTGCTACTTCTCTGGCTTCTGCTCCCTCTTACCATGGTGTATTTTTTGGTACTTACTCTTTTGGAATCTGTTGGGCTAAAGGGGGATATGTGGGGGAGAAAACATTGCTCAGCTGTATCAGCAAATGGAAATAAAACTTCTCTTTAACTGCCAGCATCACATGTTGTGCTCAATGCTGAAGGAAACATGTCGTGCTGGGGTCCCATCTGGCTCCAGAGTGTCAGACAGGAGGCAGCAGGGCTAGATGTGTGGAGGGGAGCATGCTTGTGCTGTATGTGTAACCCAGGGCTTCTGTTCAGCTGCTGACTTGACTAAATCCTGCTGAGTATTGACTGTTTACTACAGGCAGCCAAGGATGAAATGTCTGAAGGAGAGCAAGTGCCATTCTTCAACTCTGAGAGCACCTGTGGTTCCACCTCTAGTAGTATCAAGTGTGCTCATTAATTTTTTTAAACACAACTCAGTATGGACATTCCTGTCACTGAGCTAGATGAGGCAGGCAAATATGTGATTATGGCAACATCCAGCAAGATGTGAAGGAATGCAGCTGTGGTCTGTGTGGCAGAGACTACTGCTTTTCTTCCTGTGTCCTCAGTCCCATAAAACTGAGGAAATGGTGACAGGACTTAGAGCTGAGGCTCTTTGATTGCTTTAGTTGCCCTTCTCCACCTCTTCCCCCCTCTTCTTTGAGGTGCACAGGCCAGAACTGAGCACAAAAATATTGAAGGTGTTGGTACATCTGTACCTTGCAAAGATAGGTGATGCCCTGTCTCACTATTGCTTTATTTGCTGAGGTTGCCTGGTTTTGGTGGTTATGTTTTTGGCTGCTTAGGATCTGGGCAGTTCCTGTAACCAGGCCAGTGCACTAATGTGACTGTCAGTACAGCCTAACCCAGAACTTCTTACTGCATACGGAAGAGCAAAAATCTGCTAGGACAAATCTGTACCTAGCTCTGAAGGTGGTTCTGAGAGGCTGCAATGTGGATAGCTGGATCAGTGTAGACAGACTCACTCTGAAGATGACAGTGCTGTAAACACTTAAAACAGCTCACTGTTCCCCAGAATGGGGTGGAGGGTGTGAGAAAGTGGAAGTCAGGCTTGTAATCCCTACTCTTCATGCTTGCATGAAACAACATGCTAGAGCAACCTGGCCTGAGAGAAATGGGTCCCTGGTTGAGTTGTAGGGGGTCAGTCTGCATCCAGTCCACTGCAGTTTGTATCTGATGCTGAGGATTTTTTCAGTCCCCCATGGTTGAACTTCTTGTGGTTAAGGTCCTGCCAGATATCATGTGCTGGGATCCCTTCCTGTTACTGGACCTTCTTTACCCGCAGTAGCAGGGTTTGAGTCAGGTCAGACTGTCCAGCTCTTAAGGTGTCAGCAGTGATGCAGCTGATCCAATGCACTGGTCAGGAATGAGAAGTGCAGAGGGCCTTATCTCTCATAGACAGTTGTCTTGGTGTATTTAAGTAGCTTTGCAGTCCCAGACTTTGGAGTCTGGGACATGGCAGTGGAAATTGGCTTCTCCTTACTTTGTTGGTGGAAGTGTGATAGAACAGATGCTAAATCCAGACATGAATTCCTGTCCACACCCTTTGCAGACTTTGCTCACTCTACACTAATACTGCTGCAATTATGGTGGAAGTTACATGCTGACTTTACAGCATGTTTGCTGGGAATCAAAGGCTTTAAAATTAGTTCTCGAGATGAAGTAGAAGATGGTCTCTCTTCTGCCCATCGTTCCAGTCTGATCTGACAGATTTTTTTTCCAGAGCTGCTGTTCTCTGTGCCTACTGAATTATATCATTTGGACAGTAAATTGTATAAGACTGTTCTGATAGCAATCTGGCCAGACACAAGAGTTTAGTTTCAAAACCTTTCAAGAACCTCAGCATCCAAATGACCAAGCATTTCCTGGAATTGTATCCCAGATATAGGATCTGGGAGATGTGCTCAGCATGCACTGCTCTGAATATGCCCCTAAATCAATGTAAGTACAGCTGGGGCTATAGTCTTTTAATCAAGTTGTGCAAAGCAGTTATGTGCTCCTGTATTTCAAGACTTATTCCTTGTCTATTGTTCTTCTCCTCCATTTAAATAAAAAGCTGTGGCCAAGGGGACCACCTCAGGCACGGGGAGCTCCTATGATGGTAGCTACAGCCTGGTGGCCAGGTGTGAAGAGTTGCCTGATGTGGCTTGCTGTGAAGTTCTGTGCTGGTTGTGGCACAGCAAAGGGCTAAATCTCTGAAGTGCAGAGGGTTGTAGGAAATGCAGGAGAAGGGTCTGAGTGGGAAAGGTGGTGTTGGCCCATGTAAAATGCTGGCAGAGCAGGTCAGCTAGCTCTTTGCTGCTGCTAGAATTCCAGGAAGGGTGTCTGTCTGCTGGGGGTTACATGACTGGCTCATGCTGGCTTTGCTGGGTACCAGCAACCAAATCCTGCTGGGCCTGGGCAATTTGCCTGGGCATTGAAAAACATCTGCACTGGCTTTCCCTTGCTGTGCTCCAGTGCAGCTGCAGCCACCTTAGAGAAGCATGAGCTGAGAATTGAGACCTGCCCTCAGCTTCAACCTCTTAACACCTGGTGGGGCAGGGACAGCAGTGCAGCTGTGTCTGATGGCCTTGGGTCAATAGTGGTCCTTCTCTCTGCATAGGGCAGGCAAAGGGCCTGGCTCCCTGCTGGGAGGCTGAGTGTCACCGGGAACAGGCACACCAAGCGGAATTCCAGCCCCACACCCTCCCTGGGTGGTGTGGACGGGCTGAATTCTGCTCTGGTCTTAGCTTTGCCCACTGAGCCATCACAAATAGGTCCATAGATGTTATGGTCTGTACTCAGATAAGATCCTTGAGGTTTGTATTTTTGTCACCTTCCCTGTGTTGATAGCCAGGGTCTGAAGTTCATAAATATCTTCTCTCACTTGGAATATTATCCTTAGCTTAAGTTTTGTCTTCAAACATGTTTCTGATGCATCACCTAAGGAAGTCATTGGCATCCAGAACCAGTGAATGCGTTAGCTCTGACTCTGCTGCTGTGGTGACCTTTTTCAGGACTATCTTACTGAGCGTAATCTCTCTGCTTAATGAACCCAACACATTTTCTCCTGCCAACGTGGATGCATCAGTCATGTTCAGGAAATGGAGAGACAGTAAAGGAAAGGACAAGGAGTACGCCGAAATCATACGGTAAGCTGAACCATGTGTGATGCTGTGCTGCCAGCCTTCTGCTTGGAATCCTGTAAAACAGCCTGTTCCCAGGGTTTGCTGAAACCAGCTTCTTGCTGTCCTAAAGTTTTAAAGTTCCAGAGCTTAAAAGTTGAAGTTTTTCTTAAAATGTAAAGCTAGCTAATGAGGATACAAATAAAAGTTCAGTTATATAGGGATTAGATATTTCTTACTCTTTATTTGACAACGGCTGGGTGTCACTTTCAGCCTCTTGAGGAATAACCACTGGAGCAGTCAGACACATGGGAAGGTAGAAGGTCCAGCACACCTTTCAGGGAAAGTTTACAGGAGGCTTTCTGATCAAAGATGGGACCAGGGATTTATAAAATAAAGTGACTGGTTGCTGTAATTTAACTACTTATCCATGCCTCCAAAATCCTCCAGTGGAGAACACAAAAAAAAGGGGGGTGGGTGAAGGGGGAGGAACTCACCAAGCAAAATTTTGTTTATCCACCCATTTTTGTTTTGCCTTCATTTTTGAACCTAGCTGAGGCAGAGCTGAGCTTAGCTGAGAGGCAAAGAACAGGAGAACTGGGCTGATGTGTCTTTGAATTGTTCTTTTTTCAGACTAATCTGTCATGATGCTCTGCAAAACTTATTGGATGCTAATAAATCCCAGTCAAAGTCCCCGCTTGCCTTTGAGCACTGCCTGCATTGCTTGGGTTATGATTCAAACTGACTGCATCCTAGTGATTCTGTGCTTAATGCACTCATGAATCACAGCCTTGTCCCTCCAATTCAAAGGAGTATCAGTTGGATTTCGCAAGTGTTTGCAAAGCAGGGTTTGATTAGCTGGAAGCACTGTTCAGTCTTGACTGTCCTTTGCTGAGAAGTTCATGGTTCATTGGGTGCTGTAGGAGATGATGTAAACTTGAGCTGGGGTTGCTGAAGAGCAGTGGATGGGCAACCCTGACTGCAGTGGGACCACTGTCATGCTTGCCTGGGGCAAGGTCCCAGGCAAGTCCATGCCCAGCTTTCTTGTAGTGGCTTCCTGGTACCTGAAGGGGCTACAGAAAAGCTGGGGAGGAACTTTTTAAAAGGGGATGGAGTCATAGGATGAGGGGGAATGGATTTAAAGTGAGAGAGGGGAGGTTTAGGCTAGATATTAGAAGGCAATTCTTTCATGTGAAGGTGGTGAGACACTGGTAGAGGTGGCCCAGGGAGGCTGGGGATGATACATCCTTGAAGTGTTCAAGGCCAGGCTGGATGGGGCTTAGAGCAATCTAGTCTGGTGGGAGATGTCCCTGCTCACGGCAGGGGGTTGGAACTAGATGATCTTTAATGTCCTTTCCAGCCCAAACCATTCTGTGACTCTATGAAGACCAGATTTGTGCTGACTCCTTTAGGTGACTGTGGAAGATGTACCCCTGGCTGGAGCTAGACAGGACAGTCAGTGTCTCAATCCCCTGCAGCTCCCTTGGCTCAGCAGGACTGGGTGTGCTCCCTGAACAGAGCTGGGGGAGGAGCAGGTGGGCAGGGGTGAAGGTCAGGCTGCCCTCTGCTCCTGTCCCTGCTGGGTGGCAGCACAGCCCAGCAGCCCTTCACAGCCCGAGTGCTGCTGGGAGAAGCAGCCAGAGCCTGTCCCAGGGAGTAGGGGAGCACTTGTCTGCCTCCAGCCCCGGGCAGCACTGGGGTTCTGGCTGTGTCCAGGGGTGCAGCCATGTGCTCCAACTCCTCTTAGCAGTGGGAGCTCAGAGCTGCCCAGTGCAGCTGTGAATTGCAGTTTAGAGCACACAGGGTTGTCAGTTGTGGAGTCAAGAAGTCATCTTAGGAAAGATGCCACAAAGATGATAAAGGGAGTGGAACATCTCTCTTATGAGGAAAGGCTGAGGGAGCTGGGTCTCTTGAGCTTGGAGGAAACTGAGGGGCAACCTCATCAATGTTTACAAATATGTTAAGGGGGAGTGTCAGGAAGACAGAGCCAGGCTTTTTTCAGTGGTGTCCAGTGATGGGACAACGGACAATGGGTGCAAACTGGAGCAGAGGAGGTTCCATGTAAATATCAGGAAGAACTTCTTTCCTGTGGGAGTGACAGAGCCGTGGGACAGGCTGCCCAGAGAGGTTGAGGAGTCTCCTTCTCTGGAGACATTCAAACCTGCCTGGACACGTTCCTGTGTGATGTGCTCTGGGTGATCCTGCCTGGCAGGGGGGTTGGACTAGATGATCTTTCGAGTTCCCTTCCAACCCCTAAGATCCTGTGATTCTGTGAAATCCCTGAGCATCCTCTGTAGCAGATGAAATGGAATGAGCTCTGAGCTCCAGCAGGCTTCTGACTTGTAGTCCTGTGCAATAACTGATTTCATATGTTGCTGAGGGCCCGTGTGCTGCAAAGACCCTTGGAGTGCTCCTAGCTGGGGCTGTGCAGGAGCCCAGCCTGTTGCTGGGGCTGCTGCTTTTGCTTCAGCCAAACACAGCTCT